GATACCGTGGTCCACGGTATCAAAAGCCGCTGAGAGGTCCAGAAGTACAAGGACAGAGGAATAACCCCTGTCCCGGGCCCTCCAGAGATCATTCACCAACGTGACCAATGCCGTTTCCGTGCTGTGTCCCGGCCTGAAGCCCGACTGGTATGGGTCTAGATAATCTGCTTCCTCCAGGTGCCGCGGGAACTGCCATGCATGAATGGATAGAGATGATAGGTAGATAGGTAGGTAGGTAGGTAGGTAGGTAGATAGATAGATAGATAGATAGATAGATAGATAGATAGATAGATAGATAGATAGATAGATAGATAGATAGATAGATAGATAGATAGATAGATAGATAGATAGTGTAATTGTAAAATCAAACTCTTCCCACAAACTTAACTACCGAGGGTTTTTCTGGTGATAATACAGAAGTGATTTGAATCCTTTCTTTTTACAAGAAGGCAACTGTAGAAAATGAACAGAAGAGAACAAGCCTTCTTCCTAACTGATGCCAAATAAAATCTTTGCTTATCTGTCTAGCTTCAGAAGTAGAAACTGTTCATTCAAAGGCAATTTGTCGAACACAAAATATTGAAGATGTAAAAGCTACAATAGAGAGCATGACTTGCAGTATAACAGCTGGTAAAACAATGCTGGGGAACATTCCAAGGGAAAGACTTCTTTGAGTCAGGGAACTTCGGGTTTGATACTGAGCCATAACAAAGCTAGGAAACACAGAGATGATGCCAAAAGAATGAGTAGATCCCACAGAATGAATCACAGGCCTATTATTCAATGGCCTTTTAATAGAAACCCTCTTGCTTGTCTTGTGATCCACTGAAGTACAACGTGCTCGTTCACTTACATTCTCCTGTGAGAATCCAGAATCTCCTAAGCTGTGTACTGACTGCATGAGTGTTTCAGATAGAATGACTGAGTAGGATTTTTCATGGCTATATTATTTACCATGTGCTTAAAGGAGGTACAATCCTTATAGGAAAGCAGACACTAGGACTTAATTTCTGAAAACTAAAAGAAGGATGGGCAGATTGCAAGATTGTATGGCAACTGTACAACTTTTCCCAATGTGGATGTCCTGCAGACATGTGATCATAAATTCCCAAAATCCCAAGTCAGCCTACCATGATCATAAGTGGAAATTATGGGGTCCACACAACTGGAAAACATCCAGACTGGACAAAATAGCTCTGTGCTTATATTATCTTATATGATCTGTGCTTATATTGATAAATATTAAGTGTGATGGAGATGCACTAAATACATTCACTCCAAAGGCCACAAATTACAACTCTAGAAGGGCAAACTATCTTCAGAATTATAATAAATTTCCACCATTATATTAAAAATAATAGTTACAAATGGCTATAGCTAGGCTTAAATCAAAAGAACGGATTAATGGAATTGGAGCAGAGAATTGTTTCAAAGCTATTGGCAATGTTTACTATGAAAGGAAATTGAGTTAATGGGACTTCTTTGGAAGGCATAAAAATATAGCAGTAAAGGAGAAATTAGCCAAATCAGAGAAGTATGTGTGACTTGTATTTTACTTTTCTAAAAAATAACTATTAGTTTTAAGTTAGCACAAGGACTAAATGTGTATAGATACATTGCCTTATTTTACCGTTTTCCCCTAATTATAATAATACACAATACCTAGAAAGAGCTAGGAGATCCCTTCCAAGTTGGACTCTTACACTGATCTCTTTCTGACAATATTGTGGAAGTTCTTCCAAACAGGGCTTCAGCACAACTCCCAGGTTGACAGATTGTGTTCCCTGTGCTTTCACACCACACCCTTGTGAAGCAGTGGAACTGATCAATTTTGAAATCAAAGTGCCTCAGGAACAATCACTAAAAACCAGGTTTGAAATTGAAGTGTTCTCTCTGGGCATGTGAACATTCCTAAAGATGTGAATCTAGCCAGACTGATGATTAGTGAAATGAGTTTTATAATTATGGTGGAAAAAGCCTATATGTTTATAGGAAATATATGATTGGGACAGGCAAAGCCAATTACATCTTAAGTCCAACATGTATTCCATGTATGCGTGCCTGGAAAGACAGGCAGAAGAAAGTGATCTCAGATTAGTAATCTCTTAGATAAAGAACAAATAAAAGGAACTCAGAGCAAATTCTCAACACTCTGTCCACATACTTCTGCTTCTTGGGTCAGTAAGTCATGAGATTCTGAAAAGTCAGTGCCATTAGATTTGGACCACCAACATTTTGAAATGATAAAATAGAGTTAATGGTTATTTGTTTCTCTCGCTCCGCTTCTGGCTATTTGTTCCTCTCCTTATAGCTGATTAGCTGCCAAAGCATCACACTGTTCGCACGCTAATCTTATTAAATTGAGTAAGGGTTGATTTTGTCAGTCATTCTCACAATAATTGGCTTTGCTTTTTTGAAATCAGTGATGGAAAGGAATCAAACACATAAGACAGAGAATTGGGGGGAGATGGAGCAGAATAGCAAGAAGCTGGTTACTTGTGGTGATTTTTGCCCTCCTATATTAATCAGTTGTTAGTTGGGTCATCCAGAACAACTCTGCATCTTGTGGGTAGCTCTGAGGAAAACAACTGTGATCTGTTTTTGATTGATCCCAAGGCTTTGAAGACCAAAAATGATAGCTGAGCAGTCCAGATGTAAAGAGAGATCTGAATGGTGGAGCAAAAATATTTTAAGTGGTGATCTTGATGGGTGAGGGGAATGATAAACTGGATTCTACTTAAAGCCACAAAGGTGTTGGAACTATTACTGCTTCCTTCCTATATCTCTATTATCTCTGTCACCTCAATCTCTATATAATTTTTACACAGCTTTAATGATTTTAATAATGTGTGCAAGTGTATCTTTCTCCAAATACAATGAATTATATTACATTTGTGTTTCACGGTACAGTTTTTTGAGAATATAAATAAAGCTGATCAAAGTCCACAATTAATCTCTCCAACAGCCCTGCCTTGCCTGGACCAGAAGAAGCGGATCAATACTAACCGAGGATGCTCTTTTGTCGCTCTTGCACTTCTTCCTCCTCCTCCCCCTCCTCCTCCACCACCACCATTATTTCCTCCATCACACTTCACACATGGGTGGGATTCTGTAAGTATAGATTTAAGCATATATATTTTCTTACCTTTTGTTAGAAACCACCAGATCATATAAAGAGTATATAGCGTAGGGCACTATGCAATTCTAATAACTAAACTAGATTAAGACCATAATCTGATAGCTACTGTACTCATCTGAGGGAAGATTGATGGAATTTAACTAGATTTATTTCTGAGCAAGCATGCAAGAAGATTACATTATGATTCTTTTTCAAAAGCATTATATATTTTAAGTACATTTCAGAGCAATAATATAATAAAATTGAAATTAATAATTTTGATATTAAAAGTTTTAATTGTAGAACTGTGAATAAAATACATGCAGATTTTAAAATGAAGTGATGACTTGGCAAAGGTTTCTTTAACGAAGTTGTAATTGATAAAGTTGTATCAGCTGTCTAGTGTAAGCATTTCCAAGAGTTGCAATGGATCCTGTCTCTCATCTTGCACCATGTGCTCTGCCTCTGATCTTATATGAAAATTCATGCCATCCTGGCTTATGTTTCCCCTTGATTTCATTTTTATGTTGGAGATTAATCGTTATGGCTTCAGCCTCTGCATCTTGGGGTTTCAAGCCAAGGGGGTATTTATTTTTGCAACCTGCCTACTTATCCATTGCCCCATATGTAGGATAACCTGCATGTCTTATGGAGTAATGGAAAGCGATATATGGCTTCCAATATTAAAGAACATGAGAAGACAAGACATTCATAATGAGAGACATTATGCTCTTTCCCTTAATTTGCAAAATGTCTGAACAATTGTTATCAATCAACTGATTCCATCTCATTGCAAGCCAGATCGGTTGTGCAACAAATTTTCACTTGTCTTCAGGTTCTATAAACCAGGGGTCCCCAACCCCTGGGCTGCAGCCATAGAACTATGCTGTGTAAGTGGTGGGTGAGCATGTGTGCACATGCAGCTTCACTCACGCAAGTGACAGGCAGTTGAGCTCACATGTGCAGCTCCACTCACATGAGCGATGCACATGCACCTGCCATTCACACAGAACTCTCCCTTCCCCCCGCCAAGGCCGCCAAGCTGAAAGGTTGGGGACTGCTGCTATAAAGTTCCAAACAGATCTCACATAACACTGCAGGTGTGTTATAATTGCCTACAAAATTAAGTGGAGCATAATTCTATGTCAAAAATGATTGGACAGAGTGCTCACTTCAGAAGCACATATACTAAAAATGATTAGATTGAAAGAGATGAAGAAATGGAAGGTACCATCTCTTCTAATGGGCATCAACTTACATCTGCTGTTTTGCTTGTAAAGATAGTGAGATTGGCAGGACTGACTTGTCAATCGCCATAGGATTGCACAGTGCTTTTTTTGGGGGGGGGAAGGTGCCGGAACTCACACACGTCATACAACCCGCCTTGCCAACAAGGTTCCATCCAAAAAAGGTGCCAGAACACTGTTCTGGGCATTCTATGACAAAAAAAGCCCTGGGATTGCAGATATTTTCTGTCTTTTCCACCCTTGCTCCATTCCATACTGTTTTTATTCATTGTTAATAAAAGCTTCTGAGTGTTTTATTATTCTCTTGACGATAGCCTTTTCCTTTTAATGTTGCATCAGAGATGTACAAGGAATGGAGGTGAGGGTTAAAAAACAGTCAAGATGGTAGACACAATCATTTCATCAAAGCTCCACCCTTTTTATGTGTATTGCCATCTTGATTTTTTTTATTTCCTCCTTGTGGATACTCATGTTTCACTTTTCTCCAGGAAACTTGAAGACTTAAGAAAATAGTCTAACTATTTTACTATAATGCCTGGATAGCCCATTATCACAGTTTCTCCCCTTTTCCTTACTTCCTTGTACTTCTGTTCTTTGTCCTTTGGCAGGGAACTTTAGGAAGAATCTGGAGGGCTATCAAGACAGGTTTTTCCCCTTATAATTGTGAATGGAGGATGGGATCTGTTATAATTGTTGAGAAGACCTGTTGCAAACAAATGAATGGGTGGGTGAGTGGGTCGATAGGTGTACGTTTGTGTAGTATATTTTTGTAACTGGCTTGTATATGAAAAATAGTGGTTGGTATAGAAATAGTATAGAATAATAAAATGAATTTCTAAATAGTATATCTTATGTTGGAAAAGAATATTTGTAGGTCAGGATTGAATTTAGTCCATAAGTAATCTCTCTGACAGCCCTCCCTTGACTGGGACCCTTGATGCTCTTTGAGCTTGGTTATTTTCTTACAGACATTTCATTACCAAACTAGGTAACATCATCAGTGCTGCAAGAAAACAACCATGCTCAGAGAGTACCTAAGGACCCTTACAAACCTTATTTTACAGGCATTTCATATGGATTACTAATGGTTTTTATCCTATTGTTTTGTATTACAATATAGCTTCTGGCAGATAAATATATATGCATATGCACATAAATGTATACATACATACAGTAATAATGAGTCATACTGAAACATTTATTATGTAGGAAAAAGGGTTTTACTTAGCTGAATTGGCAAGGTTTGATTGACAGGTAGAGAAGCTGAAATTTGTACAGGGTTTCTATCTGTCTGTCTGTCTGTGTCTATATCTATCTATCTATCTATCTATCTATCTATCTATCTATCTATCTATCTATCTATCTATCTATCTATCTATCTCTATTTCTCTCTATCTTTCTCATCTCTTTATCCATCCATCCATCTCATCTTACATCTTACTTTGGGGAAGGTGATGTCATCTTAAAGACAGGATCATCTTCATTTTAAATAGAGTAAGTTGACTAGGTTCAATTTGCCATCTATAAAAATGCAGTTTAACATCAATAACTATATCTCAAAACACTTAGGCATCAAGCTTCCAGATGTAAAAATAAATAAATAAACCACAAACCAGAAGTAAATAAAGATCCCATAACATTTAATTGGAGTATGTATCTTTACTGAAATATTAAGATGTTCCTTGATATTGGACAAAATGTGCCACAGTCCTGTCCAACCTCTAATAGTTGCAGAAATCCATTATATCATATCACATTTATTGGAGGACTTCCCAACCTTTGTATGATATTAGCTATAATAAATCTTTACCCACAACATCTTTTCTAATTATTTCATTGCAAATGAAGGGACATAATTGAGACTTAAAATAGATTTAATCTACTCTCTTCCTTGAATTCCTCCTAAAAATCCCACAAGCTGCACTAAAACTATGGGTCAACATGTAAAACATACAGTAGTATAGGAAGAATTCTAGCAATAAAACCAAGAATATAATGGGACTGCCATAAAAATCAGCATGAAGAGGTCAAAAATTCCAGTGAGGCAGCACCAAAAAAACCCTGCTAGGAGAATATGACAAGAGGTGTTTTCATGCAACTGAGCTTGCATGAAAGAATGGTAATAGTGTACCTTTTCTCTCTTTTTAGTACATGTTCTAGATTGATCCATTATGTTTCAGTATCTCCCTCAACAATAAGATGAGTGGCACGTACATTTAATAAATAAAAAATAAATAAAGCTTGTATGGAAATGTGGTACTGAGTAAAATACATAGAGGTAACTTCAGGCCTATTGGCCCCTGGATGTTCCCCATAGAGCAATAGCATTTACACTTAAATACCGCCTCATAATGTTTTACAGAACTCTCTGTAGAAGTATTATTTGCATATTGTCCCCAACAATCTGAATCTTTCTTTTACCAATGCTAGAGGGATGGAAGAATGAGTCTACCTTGAGCCTTGTCAGGATTGAACTTCAGGCTTGGGCAGAGTTGCCTACAATGCTGCATTCTAAAACCACTGCACTGCCATGGCTCAAATGATCGTCCATTCTTCTTTGAAAATCTCATCTATCTATCTGTTTTAAAGTGTTGGATTTTTTCCTTCAGTTTCCACTGTTTCAAAAGGAAAAGGATGAGCTCATTTCCAGCCAGAATCTGAAATAAAAGAAACCAATTCCACAGCCCGTAAAAATCTTCAAAACACTTGACATAGAAAAGATGCAAAGCCTTATGCTGCACTCAAGGGTAATGACCTTAAATAACATTACTGGAATGTGTGAGAGAAAATGATGTTCAGTTGTGTACAATTAAGCTATAGTACCTAATACAATTTTATGCTTTCTTAAGATGAAAAATGCCAGGAGGATAAGACTTTTCATTATTCTGTATCTTTATTTGCCTGCAAATTTACTGGCTGAATTCAATATTCCATAAAGGGACAGTCTAAGTCTCTTGCCCGATCTGTATTATATAACTCCTGTTCAATAGGTGAAAGAGCATGATGTATGCCCTCTGACTGTTACTTCATTATTCTTTTCTGATTGCTTTGCAAGGAGCAGAACTTTATTTCTCGCACTCAGTAGAAACTTCATAATCCATACAGACAGTCTTCGACTTACGACCAGTTTCTTAGTGACCATTCTAAGTTACAATGGACCTGCCCAGGCATCTTCTGACTTGGCTTGCTTATCACTTGGATGCAAAGTTCTGACAGCTAGTCACCCACCACCCCATGGTCACATGGTTGCATTTTAGGTGCTCAGCAACTGGTCCACATTTATGGCAGTTTGTAGCATGCCATAGTCACATGATTTTGATTTATGATTTTTTTTTCAGGAAACCAATGTTTACTTCTGGTTTCCTATAAAAAACGCCTATTGTGGGCAATGGATTTGGTTAATGACTATGGTGATTCACTTAACGTGCCACAAAAAAGCTTGTAAAATTAAAAGTAGTCACGTGGCGACCCGCTTAAAATTTGACACAATTTATGACTCTAATCCCAGGTTCAATTACAGTCGTAAATAGAGAACTACCTGTATTAGCATCATATGGCAGCTGCTTTATTGGGAGATTCTATTTCTGGGATCATCTGCTACTTGCAATTTGTGCTACCAGCAGGAAGGTCTATTTTGGTTGAGGAAGTTGTGTTGTAGAAAGAAAGTGAGAAGAACCAGATCAAAATCCAGTGTAGTCTAGTATTCTATTTCCACAGAGGCCAAACAGGCGCTACACATATGTGAGCTTAGGAGCAAGCCCTCTGCTCATGTGCCCAGAAACCTCTATTCTATTAGTAACAGAAATGGCTTATAACCATTGGCAGCCTTATTTCCCACAAAGAATAAACCTTGCTATGGCTTAGCATGTTAACTTTTATGGCTTGTAAATCATGATGTAGAGTTTAGTGTCATAGGTTAACCCAGCTACCTCTAGATTATGCATCAAACCATCACTTAGGGAATCCAGTTATTGAGCTATAACTCTTTTCCAAAAACATTGGATAGAACTTGGGAAATCAGAAATTGGAAAATATCTAAATGACCCATGAATGGATGAAAGAGGCATTTTATTATCCTGCTCTGTCATTGGCCTATTGCTCATGTATATTGGGCATTTGGGCCAGGAAGCTAAACAGGATTGTGCCTGGTTAGTTCTTGGATGTAAGATCTCCAGGAAATTATGGGAAGAATCAGGAAGTTGAAAAAACATTCCAGGAGCAGAGCATACATATGATTTTGTATTATTGCTAAGAAAAAAATACTTGGATATATCAGAAAGTTCCTAGGCATCAATCTCAGATCTAGTGGAATTTTATTCAACAGATAACTGTACCTCATCAACCTTATTGGCTCTCAGAAGCTAAGTTGATACTTGGATGGGAAGCCAAAATAGAATTACCAAAGCTTTAGCTAGGCATCTAGAAAAAGTCAATGGCAAATCCCTTCCATGCTCTTACCCAAAAAATTGCATGGATATATCCATAAAATTATCAAGAATCAAATTCAACTCAAAGCAGATTTTACTTTTTATGTCCTTTTGTGCCTCCCCTCCCCTTTTTAATTTCTTAGATGTTGTTTTCTCTGGATCTGAAAAACTTGTGTCAAGAGCTTCAGATAACACAATCTCCCTGTGCAGAATCTGTATGCCCCCCAGGATCTCCTGGCCCCCAGGTTAGTATTTTATTTTGGAAGGACAAAATTGGGTCACTGGGGACAGATTTTCTGATAAGTTACTTTGTCAGATGGCATGGAAGAATAAAAGGGGCACAATGAGAGGAAGACGGGGAATGATGCAAAAGAAAGCAACCTCCTTACTTTAATTACAGTATATTTATAAGGGCCTTCATTTGGTTAATAGACTTGTTGAGCCATCAAGGCAAAAGTTTCTTTTAGTGCTTTTTAAATAAACTGGTGAAATAATTGTATAATTATGTAAGTAATTAAATATTAAATAAATGATATAAATAAGTAAGGAATCCAATGTTTCTATAGGTCTATGAATAATTAGAATTCTATGAGTTTGAAATCTTAGCTCTTGTTTGATAGGACCAGATTGTCTTAAACAAGGACGAAACATTAAAAGCTTCAGAAACATTTACTTTAAACTAATTATTTGTTACTCTTTGAACATGCCACCTCTCTTTGATTTTGAGACTTAGGTAAGCTTTTATTTTCTACTGAAATACCTAATTTTGAAAAGGGCTCAGTGGAGGCAGTGGCACACTTAGGACTTAACCGGTCTCCATATATCACCTCTCAACAAGTCCAGGGGTCTGGAAAGCTAACATGGTTGTTGCTGCCACATTCTTTCTTTTTAAGTTTCCCCATTGTTGTAGCATAAGGTTCAGGCAGATGTGCTTGCCAGCTTCATTTCCATCTAGGCCAATTCTGGGAGCCTAATCTAACCATAGCAAAAATGTTTTTTCTACTTTTTTAATTGGCTTTGCTAAAACAGAATCATTTCTCCCGCCCCCACCCCCGCAAATTCTAGATGTTATGCTTCCATCCTATCTCTCCACAATATTTCACATAGTGTGTCCATATGAAAGGCTCTCAATTCTACCAAATTAAAGCACCATCTAATTGTTCCTTAAGGAGTATTTCTAGAAACAAATATGCAGTCAGATGTGAAGGCAAAGGATAGAGTTACAAGTGTAAGAAAATGTCATTCGGAGTCGCTAACAAAATTCCAGAGTTTATCAGGAAGTTGGACAATAAAAGCCTTGTTGGAAACATCTTTCATTGGTCATTAGGGGTAAAGACTTAAAAACTGAACATTAAATGAGGCCAAAATAGTAGAGGCTGCTCTAAACAAACATGAACCATGTTGCATGTGAAGTTTTCTGTCCAAACTGAAGACAAATTGAAGTGAATAAACTTGGTATAGATTCTTTCAAGAAGAAATAAGAAAAGCTCTGCTAAGTCACAAGTTATCACTGACAAGTCAGTGAACAAATTGTATGATGAAGATTTTTAAACATCGTACTTCTATTTTTAGGGCCCACAAGGTATTCCTGGTGTGAAAGGACCAAAGGGAGTAAAAGTAAGCTCCAAAGTTGTTTTGTTAAATGTAAAAAATAAAGCCTTGGGGGAATTTGTGCATACAATATGCAAATATGGAATGCAAGCAGATTATGCTGATTGTGGTAGAAATGCAGATCACCTGTAAAGGAAGGTTACCATATCTAGCCTTTAATACCCAAATGGCAGCAAAAAGGGTTGTTTTTTTTAATTTTTTTGCTTAATGGCAGTCTGGATTTTTGCAGCAAAGATATTACTTTAAACCAAACTTATCAGAATACAAAGTTGTATTTTAAGGCTAGCAAATCTGGGGTTCAAAAATCCATATAGATGGTAGCAAAGAGATTCAGAAATTAAATCTTTGCTGCCATCTAGATTTTTGTAACCCAGGTTTGTCTTCAGTAATCGGAGTTTGGAATGCAACTTCTGCTTCTGAACTTTTCTCTTGACCATTGTAGGTTGAATTGGAAAGGTTGAAGAGAAGCTACAATTTTGATTTATTGAAGATGCTTTCTGTTCTCTGGATGGTCAGAATCTTGATTGTGCAAGATTCCTGCTCAGACAAAGAACAATCTAACTAGGTTATCTAAACACATTTACAGATTTTTTCCCCCAGCCAATTTAGGGAAGTCCTCTAATCTCCCCCCAGACGTGTCTCCTCAAAAACCTGGAAGAGCCTCAGTATTTGAGTCATCACTGCATTTCCCTCAGTATTCAATTTATGAGTGTGATCTGTCTGATTAACAGAAGTCGTGATTATAAAAAAAGAATATAGAGATCTGTCACATGCTGCTTTCCTCTGTTCTTGATAATCAACCAAATTAAAAATGTCCAGCTACATTCAAATTGTTTGTGCCTCCTACTGATGTATTATTTTCTCTGGCAGGGTGAGATTGGAAGACCAGGAAGAAAGGTATAAGACAAAATGCATAAGATATCTTATAAGGTTTGCGGCAACCGTCTTAAACCTGGTACCCTTGTGATATGTTGGACTGCAACCCCTGACTTCCACTCAGCAGGGTTACGCTAGATGTGGGTGATGGAAGTTGTAGTCCAACAAATTTGGAAAGGCTGATTTCTAGAAATTTTCTCCAACTTAATTTCATTCCAGGTGTGGACTTCAGTGGCCAGAATCCTCCAACCAATATTGGCATTGCTGAGAATACTGAAAATTGAAGTCCATACATCTAAAGTGGATTCAGGTTGGGGAGGCTGCTTTTGTGCATATGCTAAGGCATGTTATAAAAGTTCTACGTGGCATTAAACACTGATAAACATGCATTAATCTGAGATATATAGATATCATATATCTATTCTCTAGAATTGAAATAGAAGTTCTTCTTGTCCCAATAAATCTGTTAGGCTCCCCTTCTCTTTCACTTCCTGGCCAAGACCTTCCTATTCCAAAAGCCATTTACTTGCCAGATCCAATTCTCTCTTTCCTGAAATCTGGTGGAATGGCTGCATTGAAGTGACAGATGAGGAAAAGATGAGCACATTGGATTTCTGGGTGCTCCATGGTCATGACTAATTGCTAGTTGAAGTTACTCTATTATACATTACAGTCATTTTGAATGTTTAGTAAATTATGTGAATACCCATGCTAATACACCTGATTTTTCTTTTCTTTTTTAATTTGATTTACTCCATTCTCTGTTTTTTTGAAGGGCAGCCGAGGTCCTCCAGGTGTCCCTGGAATGCCAGGATCTATTGGATGGCCTGGTCCAATGGGACTAAAGGTAAGATTAAGCTATTGATGAATGATTTGTCAAGCAGCCTATTTATAATGTAAATTATAATCCTATTGAAACCCAGGAATGGAAAGATTGCTAATACAGTAAATGATGAGTTTCAAAAATCTGTTGTTTACTTTGGGCAGATGATGTCCAAACCCCAGATTTCATATAAAAATAAATTATTATTTAATTATTCACATTGAGTTAATAGGTATATATTTCTGGAATTGTCTGGAATTGATAGCACTCCCACACCTACAACCCAAAATATGGATCAGATGTTTAAACAATACCTTTACCATAATAAAATAGGACCAATTAGTAAACATCCACAAAACTATCAGCAACATCTTCAAAGGAATCCAATTCACAAGGGAAGAAAAAAATAACAACACACTACCATTCATAGATATCCTTATCAACAGAGAATACAATGGCAACTAGAAACAAAGGTGTACTGAAAAACCATCCATACCAACCAAGTGCTGCACTTCAAAGTAATAATAATGCAATGCAATGCAATGCAACGCAACGCAACGCAACGCAACGCAACGCAACACAATACAATACAATACAATACAATACAATACAATACAATACAATACAATACAATACAATACAATACCACAGTTGGAAGGGACCTTGGAGGTCTTCTAGTCCAACCCCCTGCTTAGGCAGGAAACCCTATACTATTTCAGACAAATGGCTGTCCAGTTTCTTCTTAAAAACTTCCAGTGTTGGAGCATTCACAACTTCTGGAGACAAATTGTTCCACTGGTTAATTATTCTAACTGTCAAGAAATTTCTTCTTAATTCTAGGTTGCTTCTCTCCTTGATTAGTTTCCATCCATTGCTTCTTGTCCTGACCTCAGGTGCTTTGGAGAATAGCTTGACTCACTCTTCTCTGTGGTAACCACTGATATATTGGAACACTGCTATCATGTCACCCCTAGTCCTTCTTTTCATTAAACTAGACATACCCAATTCCAGCAACCGATCTTTATACATTTTAGCCTCCAGTCCCCTATCATCTTTGTTGCTCTTCTCTGTACTCTTTCTAGAGTCTCAACATCTTTTTTACATTGTGGTGATCAAAACTGGATGCAGTATTCCAAGTGTGGCCTTGCCAAGGCATTATAAACTGTTATTAACACTTCACGTGATCTTGATTCTATCCTTCTGTTAATGCAGCCTAGCACTGTGTTGGCTTTTTTGGCAGTTGCAGCATACTGTTAGCTCATATTTAAGTGATTGTCCTCTAGGCTCTGAGATCCCTCTCACAGTTCTACTATTGAACGAAGTATCACCTATACTATACCTGTGCATTTGGTTTTTCTTGCCTAAATGTAGAACTTTACTTTTTTCATCATTAAATTTCATTTTGTTAAATAGTGCCCAATGTTCAAGTCTGTCAAGATCCTTCTGTATCTTAAGCCTGTCTTCTGGAGTGTTGGCTATTCCTGCCAGCTTGGTGTCATCTGCAAATTTGATGAGTTCCCCATCTATACCCTCATCCAAATAATTGATGAAGATGTTGAAGAGTACTGGGCCTAAAACAGAACCTTGGGATACCCCACTGCAAACTTCCCTCCATGTAGATGTTATTCCATTGAGGGCTACACGTTGAGTGCAATTGGTCAGCCAGTTATGAATCCATCTGGTTGTGATGCTGTCTAACCCACATTTTTCCATTTTATCAAGTAGTAGGTTGTGGTCTATTTTATCAAATGCCTTACTGAAATCCAAGTAAATTATATCCACAGCATTCCTTTGGTCCATTAATTTTGTCATCTTGTCAAAGAATGCAATACGATTTGTCTGGCATGATCTGTTTTTGGCAAACTCGTGTTGGCTTTTGGTAATGACTTTGTTTGCTTATAGGTGTTCACTGATTCATTGTTTGATTATTTTTTCCAGAATTTTCCCATGTATTGAGGTCAGGCTGATAGGTCTGTAGTTTACTAGATTCATTTGCCCCCCTTTTTTGAAGATGGAAACTACATCAGCTCTTTTCCAGTCCCCTGGTAATGTAATAGTAATAAAGTTGGAAAGGACTTGGAGGTCATCTAGTTCAACCCCTTGCTCAGGCAGGAAACCCTATACCATTTCAGACAAATGGCTGTCCAATCTCTTCTTAAAAACTTCCAGTGTTGGAGCATTTACAGCTTCGGGAGGCAGGTTGTTCCACTGATTAATTGTTCTAACTGTCTGGAAATTTCTCTTTAGTTATAGGTTGCTTTTCTCTTTGATTAGTTTCCATCCATTGCTTCTTTCCCTGCCTTTGGGTGCTTTGGAGAATCACCTGACTCCCTCTTCTTTGTGGCAACTCCTGAGATATTGGAACACTGCTATTATATCACCCCTAGTCCTTCTCTTCATTAAATTAGACATACCCAATTCCAGCAACCATTCCTTATATGTCTTAGCCTCCAGTCCCTTAATCATCTTGGTTGCTCTTCTATGTACTCTTTCTAGAGTCTCAACATCTTTTTTACATCGTGGTGACTAAAACTGGATGCAGTATTCCAAGTGTAGCCTTTTCAAGGCATTGTAAAATGGTATTAACACTTCACTTGATCTTGATTCTATTCCTCTGTTAATGCAGCTTAGCACTGTATTGGCTTTTTTGGCAGCTGCAGCACATTGCTGGCTCATATTTAAGTGATTGTCAAATAGAATTCCAAGATCCTTCTCAGAGTTACTACTTTTGAGCAAGGTATCACCTACACTATACACTCCAGAATCTTTGAAAGATATAGTTCAGTGGTTCTGAGATCATGTCTGCCAGTTCCTTCAGAACCTTAGGTGTAATACATCTGGTCCTGGTGATTTGAACTCATCTAGTTTGGACACGTGCTCCCTTACCATTTTTCTTGCCTATTTTAACTTGTGTTTCTAATTTTTTTTTTATGGTACTGTTTTTCATAGGTTGGGCTGTTTTTTCCTTTGTGTAAATACAGATGCAAAAAATGAGTTGAGTAGTTCTGCTTTCTCCCTGTTGCTTGTCACCTTCTTACCACTTTCTCCCACTAATGGATCAATCATTTCCTTAACCTTTTTCTTGTTTTTTTTTACATGTTGAAAGAAGTTTTTTGTTGTTGTTATTTTTGACTTTTGTTGCAAATTTTAGGTTATTTTGAGCCTTAGCTTTCCTCTCTTCCTCTTTGCAGGCTCAGGTATCTGCTGATATTCTGCTTTAGTTATGTACCCCTCTTTCCACTTTTTATACTTGTTCTTTTTGTCTTCCAATTTATCAGAGAGTTCTTTATGCAGCCATGCTGGGTTTTTTTGAGAGCTGTTATTTTTCTTCTTCATTGGTATTGTGCTAGATTGGGCTTTTATAATCTCACTTTTCAAAATTTTCCAAGCTTCTTGAATTGTTTTCCCCTTGAGGATTCTTATCCATGGAATCTTTCCCAAGCTCTTTTGGGGTTTATTGAAATTAGCTCTCTTGAAGTCCGAGACTCTAGTTTGACTATGTTCTACTGCTGGTGCTTGCATAATGTTGAATTCCAATATTGCATGACACTCTCCCCCCAAGGCTCTTGTAGCTTCAACACCTTCTATCATTTCATCTCTGTTAGTGAAAATTAAGTCCAATATGGCTGATCTCCTAGTTGCCTTTTCTATTTTTTGGGAGACAAAGTTGTTTGCTAGGTTTGTCAGGAACCTGTTTGATCTTCTACTTGGAGTTTGTCTCCCATTATTATTGTGATATGCTTCCTATATGCCTTAGTTAACTGACTAGCAAAAAGTCCATCTATTTCCTCTGTTTGGTTGGGTGGCCTATACTATACACCTATCGTAATATCATCCACCCCTTTTATATTGACCCAAATGCATTCAAGACAATTTTCATCATTGTTGTGCTCTATTTCTGTAGAAATGTAGTTATTTCTTATATATAGTGCAACTCCACCTCCTCTTTTATTTGGTCTATTTCTTTTAAATAATTTAAATCCCTCTAGTTGTATGTTCTATTTGTGGGTTTCATTCCACCAAGTTTCCATAATGACAACAATATCATATCTGCCCTCATTTACTTGAATTTCTAATTCACCCTGTTTATTGCTCATACTCTGTGCATTGGTATATAGACATTTAAGTCCTATTTGACTGACCCTCTGTTTACTTTCTACATAACCCGTGTGTTACCTGAGTTCCCCTACTTCCTTATCACCTATTTGATTAGTGCACTTTGCATGACACTCACTATTAAAAGCCTGATTTTGCTTGACAGCAAGGTTGATATTCTTACCTGCACAAACACCTATATTACACACACTGATAACCCTATTAATTTTAGATTGCTAGGGACAGAAATGTTCTATATCAATTAACTCACTGTCCCCACTGTTTAGTTTAAATAACCCAACCTCTCACAAGAGAAGCTATGTAAGAACACTATTTAGATGAACACAAAAACACTGCAGCAATCTTGAACAGCACAAAAAAGAAGCAGATCATCTATATAACATCTTCCAACAAAATGGATATCTATGCAACATTCTTGAAAAGTGCCTCAACCCAATATAGCACAGCCAACCCAAAATTGTAACAAGGAAAACACTGTCATACATCAAAAACACCTCAGAAACCACCAACAGACTACATGACATCAGCATACCACACAAAACAATGAAATCTCTCCAAAACATCCTAAGTAAACCAAAAGACCCAGTAGCCCTAGAAGAAAAAACAGAAGTCATCTGCAACATACAGTCTAAAGACTGTTACCAGCCCCTACATAGAACAAACAGACAGAAGACTAGCTGAATTCATCCATAAACACTAACTACTGTAATAGTCAGAAGACATGATGAAAACCCTTTAATTTCACAACATATGGACAGACTTAACCATAGTTTCAACTGGGATACCCTGACCATCCTTGACCAAGCCAAATCCAGAAATACTAGAGAATTCCTGGAAGATTGGCATTCAGGCAAATCGGTGATCAACAGACACATAGAGATAAACAAGATACGATACCATTCAAAAGAGACAATTAATAAGCCAAAAAGGGAGACCAAAATGTCTACCTCCAGCAATCAACATCCAGATGAACAGAGATTAATACCAAGATTAACATTAGACCAACAATTAAGATGTAAATAATACTCCAATCAAAGAATGGCCAAACAAACCAATGTAAACAGTCTAACAAAAAACAAAACCAACTGGGCAGGCCCCTAGAATATAAACTGAGAGCAAATCCTACTCCTTACTAGCACTGATGATGTTACCTAGTTTGGGTAATGAAACATCTACAAGAAAACAAGCAAACTCAGAGAGCACCAAGGACCCCTCATTTCAACCCTGAGCTATACACATTATCCTTTACAGGTACACATTTCTATCTATAGTTGTCTTTATAAGAGTAGAGTGAAATTATGGGTTGACATAATTATCTATCAGAACATGTTTTCTCTTCAGAGCATCTGTGAAAAGGCAGTGGGAGAGTTGGCTACAGATGGTCAGTTAGAAGCTAATCACATAATCAATGTGTCTAGTTAATACTTGAATGGTAGATTACCAGAGAACATTAGGACTATAAACTTAACCAATTCACTGAAAAACATATTAGAACTGTTCCTTGAAAGTACAAGAAGAGGCTCTCTTTGTTGCAATCTCTTTCACCCTTCCCAATGAAATTTGGCAACATGATTGCTGACAACTGGTGGGATAGTTTCCTAATATCAGAAATACAGAAATTTGGGAGCATAAATTAGTTCAACACCCTTTAAAAATGGGAAAGAAAATCTTCCTAAATGTTTCATGGCCAATTCTGTTGTCTCCCCTTTCAAAAATAAATGTGACCGTAGCTTCAGACCATCAGAATCTGCCCATCCCTGCCTTACACTGTGATACAAATCAGCAAATTGGCTCAGCGCCATCCAGGTTAACTATATCCAATGGTAAGAAAGGTAAGGGAGCAATCTGAGCAGCCTATACTCATTTGCTTACGGTTCTATACAAAGAACTTATGTTAAACTCAGATTATACAGTGTAATTTTCTATGATATGGATGCATTAAGAAATGTAGAAATTTCTCTTCTCTAATTATGAACTACAGCTATCAACCAGTGCAACCATTGCAATAAAATCTGGCCATTATGAATAATTTTCTCTATTGTTTCTTTTAGGGTGAAAAGGGAGATTTGGGTTTGATGGGATTGCCAGGCACAAGAGGACCAATGGGCTTCAAGGTTTGTTACTCCAAGCACTATGTTCTCTTTCTTGGGGTCTAACAACTATTGGGTTAGAAGATAATTGGTGTACATTGTAGATAGGTATCATTTATGATTTTGGGGACGAAGAATAATAATGAAAAGATACAAACTTTTTTCCAATACTTTTTTTACAATGAAAGTATTGTAATAGACTGTGGAAACATTTGTTTTTCTTCTCTTCTTTATCAGATATCTTGCGGCAATGTAATAGTGTACATGGGTTGAACAGAAGCATTTGCAAGGGAAATCCAAAAATTAAAGATGATGGTTGCAATCACATGATTAAAGCACATGGAAAAGGTGTGAGGCTTTGATAAATGTGATCATGGCTATCATCTTGACTTTTTTTACATCCACTCCTGCAGAAACCCCTAAAGCTGAACTACACAATATGTTAAATATATTTTAAGTACAGAAATGGGTGAATAAATGAAGTATTCTGGATATTATCACATTCATTCATTCATTTATACATTCATTCATTCATTCAATGTATTTAACGTGCAATTGTTTTGATTTTTGTTAGAACAAATGTCTGGGTTTGACCTTGAACCTGGTCACTGGGCACTGTGGATAGGAGTCATAATAATAATAATAATAATAATAATAATAATAATAATAATAATAATAATAATAATAATAATAATAATAATAATAATAATAATAATGATAAAGTTGGAAGGGACCTTGGAAATCATCAAGTCCAACCCCCTGCTCAGGCAGGTAACCCTATACCATTTCGGACAAATGGCTGTCCAGTCTCTTCTTAAAAACTTCCAGTGTTGGAGCATGCACCGCTTCTGGAGACAGGTTGTTCCACTGGTTAATTGTTCTAACTGTCAGGAAGTTTCTCCTTAGTTCTAGGTTACTTCTCTCCTTTATTAGTTTCCATCCGTTGCTTCTTCTTTTTTTAAATAAATTTTTATTTATTTTTCATTGAAAAACAAAAACATAAGTCTTTTATCACAATATCAACCAAAAAAAAATCAACACTAATCAATACATTCACGGACGTGTCCGGTGCCCCCCTCCCGCACCCCCTTCTTCCACTTGCATACACCTTCCTCCTCCCATCCTACCACCACTCCTCCTTCCTCCCTCTTTCCTACCTCCTTTTCTCACTCAACCATCCCGTCTGTGCAGTTGGGGTATCACCGGGCACCTCCTCAAAAAACAAACAAACATACATATATATACATATAAATCTATAGTACAAACCTACCCCATTCCCCCCTCCCCCCCCCAAGACTTCCCAAAGCTAATCTAGGAAATAAACGCAAAATAATCCCAATTCTACTCAAAACTACTCATTATTACTACACACTAGTACAAAATTGCTGTGACTCTAAAATAACATTAAATTACAACAAAAAAAATTTTTTTAATTATATCAATATATAATATACCTATTTTTATTCTAAATTTTTAATTAAAAGCTACATAATAATTTTTCAGTTCATACTTCCTCTGAATATAATCTATCCATCTTCTCCATATTGAGATAAATTTTTCCTGAGAATGGTCCTTCAGGTACGCGGATATTTTTGCCATCTCTGCAAAGTATGATACTTTCTGTCTCCAATCATCCATGGTTGGTAATATCTTTTTTTTCCAATTTTGAGCGACTAAGGTCCTTGCTGCTGTTATACAATACAACATCAGTTTCGTTTCTTTTTGATCCAAGTTATCCATGATACCCAATAGAAATAACTGCGGTGTAAATTTTATCTTTTTCTTAAAAATCTGTTGAATATTCCACCAAATCTTAATCCAAAAAGCTTTAACATCCCTACATGTCCACCAAATATGATAATAAGTAGCATCCATACTACCACATCTCCAACATTTTGGTTGCAAATTT